GGCTCTAATTAAGGGCTCATCAATCTTAACATGAAGCAAAAGTGCAACATCACCGTACCGTTGGCTGAACTTCTGTTTCACCTCATTCTTCCAACTGTCCCAGATGTCCCGGAGCTCTTGTACGTCATTCTGCTATAGGCTGATCGAGGCGTAGCTAACCAGCTCTGACACATAGCTGTCTTGAAGACTGTCTCCCTTTTCCTTCTGAGTCTTCTCGGACCATAGTCGTACCTCAGGGTTTTTAATCTCTTGTATTACAACACCTTTATCCATTAATTCAGATTATTTTGTGCGTAATGAACGTCTTTTTAGGGATCAATGGCCTCTTGTTATGATGCAAATGCTAAAAAAACAAACACAAAGGTAAAAAGTTAGTAAAAGTATAAATAAATAAATAAATTGAAAAAAATGGCAAGGAAAAAAACATAGGGACAAAAACATGGTTAGGTAAACAATATCCTAGGTTTTGGAATGTGGTTTTGGGGTAGGCTCTATTTCTTCGAAGTCTCCTGGTTTAGGTTCTAAAAATCGGTACCCGAGTTTTCCTTGCTGGTGCCCTCTTGGGCTTACCAGACCCTTAGTCCTAAACCCATCACAGGCTTGTGTGGACTAAGTTAAACTCGAGGGGACACATTCCCTTATGTCTATGCGGAGAATAAATTCACACGAAGACATAAGGTATATGAATCCCGAAGGCTACTTGCTAGGCATATGCGGTGAATAAATTCACACGAATGCGTTGCTTTCACCCCCACTTAAAGGGTTCGGAGCTCGGGTATAGAGCCTTTGGATGAAAAAGTTTGGAAAACTGAAATCATTAGAAAACGGTCAGTCCAACTATTTACTCGAAAAAAAAATATATAACCAAAAGTAAGTAATAAGGATCGAAATGTTACCTTAAAGTTCAAACTTACCCTTTTCGTTAAAAAGACAACTGGAAATTACCTTAGCCTGACTCACTTACCTGTGTCCCCAGCGGAGTCGCCAAGCTGTCGCAACCGCCTTTTGGTGTGGGCCCAAACTTGGGCTTCGACTTGAAAAATGTGGATTGGAGTCGCCACCGACCATTTATTTTATGAAAAAAATGGGTTGATCGGATACCTTATTTCTTACCTGATCTGCGTCGTACCAAAGATGTGTCGGATCCGGGAGTCGGTTACGGTCAAGGAAGGATTAGCACCCTTGAACCACCCTTTCGGTACTATGTAATTTCCAGTTGTCTTTAATTAAGAAAGTTGTAAATTTAAATTAAAATGTAAAATGACGATCCAAAATACTTACCTTAGATTGCTTAAATTGTACCCTTAAAAGATCAAGACATATATTAGATAAAGAATGCAAATAAAACACCTAAGGTAAAATGGAAAACAAATAAAGGAAAATATAGAATATAAAAATAATATATATGATGGTAATAATAATAAAGATATAAACAATGGGAAAAATAAAAAAGATATATATAATAGTAATAAATAAATAAAAACTAAAAACTAAAATAAATAAATAACTATAATCAAATATGTACATATAAAATAAAAAAAGAATAATGAAAATAAAATAAAAAATATATAGTAGAATAAAATGAAAACGATAATGATGTTAAGAAACACAAAAAAAATATATATATATATATCAAATATATTATTAAATAAAATAAATGAATAGAAATAAATAGACATATAATAATAAATAATAATAAATATAGATATATGCATGTATATATATAATAAGGATTAAAATGAAAAGAAAAGCAAATCGAGTGGCCAATTTGATAGCACATCGGAGTTTAAAATCGGATTTGGGACCAAAATAACAGACCTTTAAGGAAGGAGGGACCGAAAGGGTAGTTTACCCTAATTTATTACCAAATACGCGGATCTGATAGGGCTCACTATATGACTCAAATATTTTTTTAAAAGTTTCATTTCTCTCTTCTTCTCTCGTCGAGAGCTCTCCTCCCTCACTCAAACTCTCTCTTTTGTTCATCCAACAGATGAACACACCACCGTTCATTTCCAGAAAATGGCCCTGCGCCGCCTCAAGCTGTCTTGCCGCCGCCGTTGATCCGCGGCGGCCGTCATTCATCGGCGGCCAAACACGAAAAGGTAAGCTTTTTTCGAAAGCTCTTCTTGCCTTCAACCCAGATCTTAAACTGGTTTTTCGAAATAGGCCTCGGGGAAGAGTAGAACTGAGATCAAAGTCTCGATCCTTCCCCTAAAAGTTCATCGGCCAAAATAGTTTTCTTTTATATATTTTTTTTTGAAATCTCGAAAACTTTTTGAAATCCCTTTCTGAAAACAAAGATTGTTTTTCGAAAATCGATTAGGAAAAAAAACGTAGATCTAAAAAAGGTTTTGAAAGAAGAAAAGAAAATAAATCGAATGGTCTCCATTTCGTTTCTCGACCGTTCGGTTTTGGTTTAGTTCGAGCCAAATATCACGCAAAATCAACATGCAAGGGAAGCAACCGAACGAACAAGGTAAAAATGAAACACTACCTTTTTATTTCTCTCGGAATGCTTACAGCAAAGTGCTCTGAAAATATGTAACCCTTAGTATTTTGCAGTATTCCTTCTGCGTATTTTGTATATCACTCGTATCTCTTTTCCCCTTTTTTTTTTCGAGTGTTCTATTTACATCTTTTTTTATAGTGAAAATACCCGCCTATTTAGTGTTCTAATTCGAGTAAAATACTAATGTGGGTTGTTGATGATGGCTGTGATTCTTGCGCCGGAGGACTCGGACTGTTGGGGACGTGATGGAGGCGTGCGAGAGGAGGACTGCTGCGCTGGTGGAGAGAGGCGGCTGAAACCCTAATTTGCCATAGGGTTTCTTGACTTGGGCTGCTGTTGGGTCACGTGGGACTTGGGTTTGGTCCACTGTTGGGCCCTGAAGAGAAAAAAATATAAATAAATATATAATATAATTTATAATATAAATATATATATTATATAATATAAGGACGAAATTTAGTGTATTCATTAGTTATGATTTCATTTTGGTCATCCACCATTAAAAAATTAATTGAATTGCTAACATGATATTTTTTTAATAATGATCTGACATTATCTTATGATGATGTGTCAACATTACCGCTAAATTTTTAACGGTAGGTGACTAAAATGAAATCAAAACTAAAAGTTAGACATGATTTAAAAATATTTGGATAACTAAAACAAAATAAAATTTATAGTTGAAGTACTAAATGGTTTATCCTAAATTAAAATATGGTAAATTAAACATTTAGTACGTAAACTATTACTTTTGTTTTATTTTGGTACCTAAATTTTATTTTATTTTTTCAAAATCATACTTAACGTTTAGTTTAGGTTTCAATTTGATACCCCACTAATAAGAAATTAACAAAATTATTGACTTGACATTTTAATTTTTTTCAATGATGACATATCAACATCACCATTAAGTTTTTCACAACGGGTAGGAGTGAGTAAAACTCGACTTGACTTGAAAATTTGATTTTTTTCAATTTCGAGTTATTGGAGTTGAGTTATTTGAGTCAATTTGGAAATTTTGAGTTACTCAAAAACCTAAAATTTTGACTAACTATTTTTTATAGTTTTATGATTTAGTCCCTGATTTTCTTTTTCCTTTAATTCTTCATTCATTTTAAGTCCATTTTTAACCAAATTTGAACCACATGCTCCTAAACCATCGCAAGATACCCATGTGCTTTCAATTTATCTTTTTGATAATATTTTTAATTTTTTAATTTAGTACCTCAACTTTTTCATAATTTTCTTATTTCTTCGATTCATCCTTTATTTTAAGTCCATTTTTTATCAAATTTGAACTACATGCTCTTATACCACTATAGAGTACCTTTGTAAATTCAATTCCTATTTTTTTACTAAAAATATACTCTCTTTTTATTTAGTCCATTAACTTTGCATTTTACTCAATTTAGTCTTTTGATTGCAATTGGTTGCACTTTTTTTTATTTCCATCAATTCATTAACTCTTTTTATACTCTTATCAATATTTTACCCTCAAAATATCTTCTTCAAAATATAATTTTGTAAATATATTTTATAATTTTAGACTATATTTGATATATTAAGTAACATTATAATCTGAAAAGAATATGAAATATATATATATATATATATATATATATATATATATATATATATATATATATATACTTAAATGGTTGGAGAAAATCGAAAAATTGGAATCAATTCTTACCATAATACTATTTATAATTATAATAAAATTTGTATAGAAACTTGAACAACTCGACTCGAATTTCTTAAACATGACTCGACTTGAAAAAAATTCCAAGTTAAGTTCGAGTTACAAAATAAGACTCATCAACTCGAATAACTCAAAAAAAATTACTCAACTCGATTGAATGCTCATCCCTAATGGAGGATACCAAATTGAAACCTAAATTAAACGTTAGCATGAATTTGAACAGGAATGGTACCAAAATTAGCCTCCTAACGTTTTTCAAAATGATTATTTTCCCTATAATATATTTTTTGGAGCATTCTGGCCTCCAAAAGTTTCATTTTAGGGGGAAAAGGCCTTTGACATTTGACAGAATAATCAATTTGTCCCTTGATTTTTTCTGAGATATTTTAACCCACAATGTTTCATTTTAAGTTAAAAGTCTCCTATTATGGAGCGTTAATCATGTGTTAACTAATGATTTTCATCTATAGATGTGTTTTTTTGCCTTATTTTTTGCATTATGCATTTAAAAAATAAAACTTACGTATTAAAACGGAACAAAAGTGATAGTTTACATATTAAATGTGTAGATTGCCCATTAAATTATACATACAAGTATTATTTGAGCCCAAAATGGATAAAGAAAAATGAAGGTATGCATTAAGCCCAAAAGGCCTAAACCAGCAATAAAAACAATACAAAGATTTTTGGACCAGAAACATGTCCCAAGTGGACAGCAACTATAAAATAGAGAAAAACGACGGCAGGCAAGAAGCACAATCCTTTTTCTTTTCGAGCAACAATTAATTTCAAGTCCAAAAATCCCTCCTTTGCCTTGCCATAATCCATCTCTTCCTATCCCCAAATCAAATCTCTTTCCAAAACTATACCTAAAAAGCTTTCCCATTTTATCTCTACTTCAACTCTTCTCATTTCCATTGGATCGATTGCGTCGTCACCAGCTTCTTCTCTCGTTAGGGTTTTTTTCTTTTCTTTCGGGGGTGCTGTTTCCCTTCAACGAGCGGGGATCTTTTGCTGTCTCGTTATTTTTTAATTTTTTTTCTCGGTATGGACTATGAAGTTTGCGATAGTAGTGGTATGTTGCATTCATTAATGTCGTATTATTGTATTGAACAATGCCTGGTGTTTCTGGGTTTCTTTTTCTTCACCCCCTTTTCTTTCTTTCATTTTTTTATTCGAATTGGAAATTGGGTAATGGGTGCATTTTATTTTTGGGGTTGGGGTAAAATGAGCGAGGAGGGTTTAGGGTTTCATTGGGGTCATTGGCTTTTAGTTCAATTTTATCAGGGAAATGATTTCTTGCGTTTTGCCTTTCTGGGTTTTGTTTGTTTTCTGCTTTTAGGTTTTATTTCCAAGCGTTTCTTTGAATTCTAATCGGGATTCAGAGAGAGAGAGAGATCCATGATATTAAAACATCAAATTTTTCTCTGTTTGAAAGAAAAAAATGATTTTCTTTCTCTCTTTCTTTTTTCAATTATTTTTCCATAACACGCTAGATATTTAGTTGGTTGATACTTAAGAGTTGAGAATGAACTTTTATATGTTGTTGTTAGAATAATGCAAGCGGCAACTAAGTTTTAGAAACCATGTTATTTTATTAGAACTTTTGCAATACATTTATTTCTTAGTTTGTATCCTGTTCTATGTCTGTTTTACTGTCCATGTTCCGGGTTCGGGTTCGTGGCTGCCCCTACCAATTGATTGTCTTCCATGATTGTTTAAATTTTCCACTAGGTTTTGCACCGTGAGCTTTGAGTCAGGTTTTCTTCCCTACCAGCTATAGTATCGACAATTACATTCACATTGCCTTCTAATTTGACCATATTGTTTATAGTCCTCTTAGCTCTCTACTCCTTGGCATGCAAACCTAGTAAACGTTGGTAGTTTCTATGCATATATTGATTTACTTTTATGGTAGTATACAAGAAGAGTCATTATTAGATCCAATAAATTTCCAACTCTTTTATCTGTCTTTGATAGACTGCATTTCCTTATGATCTGTTCTTTTAAAACCTTGAAAACAAGAGTATTTAAAGATTAGTTGTTGCCCTTGGATGCCTCTAGGCCATACTCATGCATGTTTTTATCTAAAATGACCACAGGTACTGATGATGATCTACCTCCACATCCAACTAGAGTTCCTATAAGGGGTAGTATTGCTGGGAATGGAAGATCTGTCATAGGTTCTGCTTCGTATTCTAGGATGCATTCTGACATGGAGACCCAAATACATATACTAGAGCAAGAAGCTTATTGTGCTGTTCTGCGTGCCTTTAAAGCTCAATCTGATGCCATTACTTGGGTATTTCTCTTTTTCTGTGCTTACTGGTTTTGATGGGCTTTCCTATTTATTTCATGTTGATTGGTGTTTGTGATGTGGCGTATGCTGGCATCTTTAGGAAAAAGAAGGCCTGATAACAGAACTTAGGAAAGAATTGAGGGTGTCGGACTATGAGCATAGAGAGCTTCTGACCAAGGTTAACTCTGATGATATTATCAGAAGGATAAGGTTTGAATGCTTCACAAATTAGCCTGAATTTAGTGGCCTGGAATACATTCAATGGCCTTGTCATATTTTATTCTGTTTAACAAGTTATAACTGAGCATTGCTAGCAGGGACTGGAGACAAACTGGTGGAAACCAGCTTGTAAGACTTGGTGCATCTCATACTGTCCACAGTGTTTTGCCCAGTCCAACTGTTTCTGCATCCCGCAAGAAACAGAAGACATCTCAGTCGGTATATCTCTTACCATATCTGGTGCAATGACAAGGCTTAGAACTCTCATTATTTCTACTTATTTATTAAGCTTTCTTCTTTGGATGCTATTTAGGAACAAGGACCAAATGCATGAAGCACTGATCTTATTTTCATGACAGAAATGCAAATGCTAACTTTGACGTGATTTACTCAAAAAATTTCCCTACAGGGTCAGTCATTGCCTGGCTTATCATCCGCAAAGCCTATGCATTACCCTGCAAATGAGCGTGGTGAAGGAGCAACTTTTGATCCCTTAATTGGAAGGAAAGTGTGGACAAGATGGCCTGAGGACAACCATTTCTATGAGGCTGTAATCACTGATTACAATCGATCTGAGGTATATTCAAAGCATAAGAAAACATCTTCTGTCTATTGCTCAGACTTATATTAAGCTGGAGCTTTTAGTTTATGATGAAAAATATAAAACACGGAACAATAAAAGCATATGCACGAAACTCTAGAATTAGTCAGAGCTGCACCTTGTCTGCCTGTTTATGCCATTACTTGACTTGTAAATCGGAAAAACAAATTGATGCCTTTTCATTTCCCAATGTTGCTACTATTTTGTTTGTCTTTGTCTATATGCACCTTTTGTTGATATGCAAATCAAAAGATTTATACGGTGCCTTTTTATTCCGCAATTTTGCAACTATATTATCTGTCTCTGTTTTGCTTATCTATCTGCAATCTGTAAATCTTTTGAGCTGGGATGATGTGTCAACATTATTTTTTCCTTCAATTCACAGTACCTTAGGAAAATTCTTCTATTAGATATTAAGGCACCCATAGTCATAATTTTATTGTTCAAAAGGATTCTTCTTTATGCAATACAGTTTATTATTTGGTAACATTTGTAAAAGGCCTTATAGAACTGTTTCTATCTATTCTGTGTTATTGCTAAGCCATCATTGGTATATTTTATTATTGTTTTACAGGGTCGACATGCTCTGGTTTATGATATAAATACGGCAAATGAGACTTGGGAATGGGTTGATCTCAAAGAGGTAAAATGGATGTCTTTTTATCATGAAGTTTGTTACTTGCATGTGCTAGTCATTTCTTTGTGCAGCAACAAAGTTAGAATGTGTGGACAAATATGATTTTGCTGGTTTATATTGATTGATACTGTACATACTGTTCTTGATTCTATTTTTGTGTCATGGGTTAAGTGTTACCAATACTGTTTTGCTAACTTTAAATAAAGACCAAAAGTTCTAATATTAACCGAAAAAGATATATATGTGTGTGTGTGTGTCAATTTCTCTCCGTTTTCGGGGAAAAAAACATATCAAGGGGGAAAATACCTTATAATAAACTAACTGATTCTAATAAGGTATATATCTCTTCCCTTTCGAAGAACTTCCAAAATTAAATAAATAAAAAGAATACACTGTAGGTGGCAAATCCTATTAAACATTGTTTGTGGAAATTGTGAAACAAAGTTTGTAGGTATTGGTGAAGAGATTCGAAGTGTTATAAAGTCATACTCTTGTGACCTTGTAATAAAAGGTCTATCTGAAAGCAAGCAAACTATAAGATTGACAGTCAACTCGAAGATAACCCAAAGAATGTTTTTTGGGGCTCAAAAAGGAATGTTACTTTAATTATAACCTCTATTTAGTTTTTATTTCCTGATATGTAACCATTATGTAGTATCATACTATTTTCAAGTTTATATTCTAAGAGGTCCTAGTTTTATTTTTCTAGCCATCTTGATTGTGCATTTGTTTAGTGGTTTCATTTGTAGTTATGCCGTCTTCATAATTTGCTAGAAAGTGAGCCATTCTAGATGCCTACTAATTGTGTATTTCGGTTGCCATTCCTAATAATATCCTTCATTTCCTTGTTTTTATGTCAAGTTCTTTCATCATCTTGATTTACCATATTTTTAATCTAAGCTATGCCAGGAAAACCATATAGTCAGATTTATGATACTAATCATTTTATTGTTTATCATTTGAAGATTTGAAGTGCATTGGTATTTGTTTTTGTTCGGTATCCTTTTAGAAGAGCTAATTTTGATTATCTAAAGCTGGCAGTGGTTCTAGTGCTTCATCATAGTGGAAATCTTAGTACGAATAAATTTCCATATACATTTTATTGAGAACAATATTGAACTCCTAATATTTACAGATTTCTCCGGATGACATCAGATGGGATGGTGAGGACCCGGGCATATCTTATCGAGGTGGCCATAGTTTCCATAGAGCTAAGAAATCCTTCAGTCATGGTGCTCCTGCTCCAGGTCCTGGCAGAGGCAGAGGTTCAGTGAAGGGTCTATACAGAAAAGAATCTTTGCTGTTGCAGAATGGTATTTCAAAGAAACTTTCTGATGATATTGAGTTGTTAAACACAGAGGCTCTAGTAAAGGAGGTAGTTATGGAGAACCAGCTCAATGGATTTCATTACATATCAGCTTGAGATAATTAACAGTATATGTTGTTTTCTAATTTGATTTGATACCTTCAACAGGTTGAGAAGGTTTTCGATGCTAGCCATCCGGATCCCCATGAACTTGAGAAGGCAAAGAAGATGCTGAAAGTAAATTCATCATTCATTCAAACTACTTAAAATATCTTTCCTAAAATTTGCTTAGGACTGCAAACCTTTTTATGTAATGCAGGAACATGAACAAGCTCTCATTGATGCCATTGCGAGGCTTGCCAATGCATCTGATTGTGAAAGTGGTAACCAATATATATATACATAGTGCTCTATTTCTTCTGTATGCGTGCAGATAGTCTATACTGAGACTCCTCTTATTACACAGATAAAGTTTCAATTCCATTTGATTTGGGAAAAAGCTAGCTGTCCTTACTTTGTTTAACATTTGCGTTTTTTTTTTTTTGGGATATTAATCATCTAGAAAGATGAATTAGTACTGTAAGATGTGCATTACAAATGTAATTGAAAGAAGAATGTAAGCCTGGACTGCACGGTTTTGATCCAGAGTTCATAGACTGCACAAATCTCATTTCAACTCTTGTGCAAACAAAGTAAAACCATGTCTTAATTCCGTAGGCCGAGGAGGCTCATTGTTTTGTTGCTATATTTGATTTTCAGATGGAGAACAGCTGTGCTCTCGTGGGCAACCGATGGAGCAGCAGGCAGCAATCACTGTGAGAGTGGATTATTTGGAAAAAGACTTGCAAGGTTGCATCCAGAGTTTGTAGAAACCAAATTGCAATAGATAACTAGTTGATCTTTTCTTACACTTCTATTTGTTGTGGATTTTTCTTTGCATCTGGTTCCTTGTTGGATAGAAAGTTGCCACAATCTTGTAAGTGGATCACTTCCCAAACACAACTCTTCAAATTTAGCTCCCTCCATGATAATCTGGAATGTAAAATTATCCTGGCAGTCTTCAATGTAGAAATTTTGGATTCATGGATTTATTGAAACTAAGCTTTCTATAACTTTGTTCCTACGTCAGTTCAACATTTTTGCATCTGCAAGCAACTTAATGTGACATTTCATATCACATGTAGATGCATGACAAATAGTAGATGCAAGCAACTTAGTTCATATCACAAGTAGATGCATGATAATTAAATAAAAGGAGGTACAATGAATGACAACTCTTAAAGAAGCTAAAATCAACACTGGAAAACTAGCAATCTTCTAGGGCATAACTGCAAATGATGATAGAAAGTAGAAACCAAACTCAAGCTTCAAGTGAAACAATTCTCGATCGGCTTATTTACCTCCATAACCACAAACATTGAAGATCTTGTATATTAGTTGTACCAAAATCGCATTGGAAAGATACGGTTGTTATGAAAAACTAGGCAAATACCAAAAACAAAATCTTCAAATACAAGATGAATGATCTGGTAATCACACAACAACAATCAACAGGATGCAATGCGAGGAAAGGAGAAGAATGTCAAGACATTGATGAATCGACGTATACACAAAACATGAGAACTCGGAATAAAGAATACCCATAATTTAGAAACTCCAATCAAGCAGGAAAGGCACATCCACCGATGATCTATGTACTAAGCATATCAATAGGAAGATGGGGAAATTTAAGGAACCCAACAATACTTCAGGCTAAGTACATAAATCCGATGATCATTGATCAAAAAATCAAGCTAAACACACAAAGATCTCAAACACAAGCATACCTGCAAGGGAACCCCAGAGAGAAGATCATATTCGCAGCCAAACATTGGAGATATCAACAAGAAAGCATGTCAGCAATTGATTGTATTTAGAATAACATTATGGGCATGTTACCATTCTTGCAAACGAGAATTATGGCGCTGGATTTTAGGATTTTAGGATTGTTGGATAGTTCAATTGAGCTTCCCTTTGTCAGAAAGTGGGATTAGAGAGAGAATTGTAGCAGAAACTGAGGTTGAGAAAAGGGTTGGAATTATAGGAGTAATTGTGAAATGTGTAAAAGACTACCCTTTATTAGTTTTTAAGGTGGAATGATTTTGCTTTGGATTTCCCTAAACCTATATTTTTTTTACAAGGAATTCTCACCTTGATATAAAAAAATTAGATGACCCTTATTCCCATATGTAATGAGATAAGGGGAGGTAGGAAAGTAGGTTATCCCCAACACCAGGTTGTGAGCAGCTTCCGTGGGAGACCTCCGAATTATGAATTGCCTAATGTGGGACTCGATCCCACAACCACAAGGTTAATAGTCTTGCTCACCTTGATATATTTAGGGCTTAATAATTGTATATTTTGTCATGTTGGTTCATTTTTTTTATAACCATCCATATATAATCTATTAACCAATTATTTTGGATCAAGTACTCCAAAGGTTCAACATGGGACGATATACTTCATTCGTAAACATAAGGATTCGAACTTTAACTTTACTTGAGAGATCTGATTCCTCATCTTACTAGATCAATTGATTGTGTGTAGTATTTATTCAATTTTAACTTTTTAAAAAGAAAAATTTGGGTTTCTTTATAAATAATTATTATTTTTTATTTTAAAATTAAAATTTTAAAAACATGACATGTGTCAGAGAAAAAATTATGACGGCCACCAAACATTTAAAAAGATAACGTCAAAAATATTAAATAACTACTTTGAATGAAAATTTCTTTAGGCATTGTAAGTTAAAAAGGGTATTGTTTTGGCACTTATTTTGACATTAATTTTTTTAATAGATTAAAATGGTTATAAAATAACATATGTTCATAATTTTCTTAACTTATTTATAATGTATGTACACTTTGTAAACGTAACTGTACGATCATCTAAAAATAATAACATTTTATTTTACCAATGAAAAATTTTGGTCTCATTAAATAAAAATAAAGTATATTATTTGAACGGTTTAAATCAATAATTAATATTCTATTCTATTTATATATTTATCTAACAGTCTAAAAAATTCAAACTGGTTAATAATTGATTTAATAGGTAAAAGAGAAATTATATAATACCTTTATTTTAAAATATTTATAATTTAATAAAATATTTACTTTTTAATTTTATATTAGACACAATATCATTAATATATATAATCATTGATTATAACTGTTTATACACCAGTTCATAAAAACTAGAAAAGTTGAAACATATAATCGATAAATTAAACTTTTTTAACATTACCAACAACTAGTTGGTCTAGTGGGATGAGGCACTAAGTCTCTTAAGCAACGTCATGGGTTCAAATCTTGGCGTTTGCGAATAGAGCAAACAGGGTTGGGAGGGTCGCCCTCGCCTTTGCAGTACCTATCTGGATTAGTCGGTCAATAGATCGGATTCCAGTGATTAATTCAAAAAAAAAACTTTTTAACATTAATAAGTTTTATTAAATTGGTTATTTTTATTTAAATTTGATCATAAATTTTAATTAAAAATGCCAAATCTCATTTTTAATAAAATCGTTGATACTATTTATTTTACCTTATATATAAGTACATCTTTTAGCACGAATCAATTTACCTTAGTGGTTAAAGGAATTATTGTTATTTCTAGAGGTCAAAAGTTCGAGCACTAGCGACTGTAAAGGTCATTGAACGTTCATAGTCAAACGGTTGGGAGTACTTAGAATAAATACTACTTTGTAATCACCTCTAGCTTAATAAAAAAAATACTTATTTTAAAAAATTTAGGATAGAGTACACAATTGGTCCTCAGACTATATGACAGTGTTTTGTTGAGTCTCTCGACCATTAAAAGTTCCAAAATGGTCACCTGAATATTCATATGTTCCAAAATCACCCTTTTCCGTTAAAAAACTAATGATATGTATGAACTGGACGTTAGCTTACTAGCTAAGATATGATAAAATCATATTTCAGTTATGTTTGTTAGCATCGTCGTTGCTTTCAAGCTTTGGCTCACAAGTATAATATTTCAAACATTGGCTTGATGACATAATGTAAACGAAGATTTGATCCACAAAATACATCTATAACGATTATGAGATCATATTTTATCATGTCCTAATCAATAGGTTAACATAAACGATCATCAATTTTTTAACGAAAAAAAGATGAGCACGGAACATATGAATAGTCGAGTGACCATTTTGTAACTTTTAATAGTTGAAGGATTCAACAAAGTAGCTCCCTATAGTCAGGGAATCATTTTGTAATTTTTAATAGTAAGAAGACTCAACAAAAATAAACGCCTTATAATCGAAAGATCATTTATGTAATTTACCCAAATTTTTAATGAACTATCATGTGTAATGTCATGTTCATACTATAAATTTTAAATTTTTATTAAATGGATTTCTCAAGGGTAAGCATCGAATATCGAAATGGAGTTGAAAACTTTCTAAATTTAGCTTTTCTAAATTCAAGCCAAGAGAATATGATTCTTTGCCCTTGTAAGAACTGTGTTAACATTAACTGGCATATTCGTGAAGTTGTATACGAGCATATAGTTCTTTTTGGGTTTGTTCGGGGTATAGAAAATGGATCTTTCATGGAGAGTTTGTATCAGATAGATTTGCTTCCACGAGTTATTCAACTTATCATGCTACTTCTCACCATCCAACTTTAAGAGAAGATGACATGGAAGGGATGTTACGAGATGCATTTAATATGCACAATTATCAATCGTATGTTATAGAAAATTATTCTGAGAATGATGTTAATGATTTCATTGAGACGGATTGGATGTGATGAAGAGCCAAATGGAGAAGCGGCACTTAAAATGCATGGGAGGGTGGACTGGTAACTCATTTACGCAATTGTTGGAATTACTAAGAGAAGTGTTTCCTTTTGCAAAAATCCCTCAATCATGCAAAGATGTGAAGAAAATGATAAAAGATTTGGGTCTTGGATATGACAAAATTCATAGTTGTCCGAATGATTGCATATTGTATTGGGATGATCGAAAAAATCATGAGTCTTGTTATGTATGCGGAAAATCTCAATGGATGACTACAGAGGCAGAAAATATTAATGAGGATGACGCTCAAGCACGATCAAGAAAGAAACCAGTCAAGATTCTGCGATATTTATGTCCTCAAAGACTGTTTATGTCCTCAAAGACTGATGAGTCTATGAGGTGGCATCATGATGGCAGAACCGATGATGGATTATTACGGTATCCTGCAGATTCTTTAGCTTGGAAGTCATTTGACAACAAGTATCCAAGTTTTGCGAGAGATCCTCGAAATGTCAGGCTCGGTCTTGCAACTGATGGGTTTAATCCATTCAAAATCATGAGTACTTCATATAGTACTTGGCCTGTTGTACTTGTTCCATGCAATTTGCCTCCCTGGATTTGCATGAAACAATCATCTTTCATCTTATCCATGATAATCCCCGGTGAGAAAGGCCCCGAAAATGATATTGATATTTGCATGCTGTCGTTAATTGCAGAGTTGAAACAATTATGGGAAGGGGTCGAAACGTACGATGTGTTGATGAATGAGAACTTTAATTTACGCACGACTTTATTATGGACAATTAATGATTTTCCTGCGTATGCAAATTTATCTGGTTGTAGTACCAAAGGTCGTTACGCTTGTCCTTGTTGTGCTCTACAAACATGTTCGAAGTGGTTGGTTAATGGAAAGAAGTTCTCTTATATGGGACATCGTCGGTGGTTACCTGATAATCATAGATTTAGAAGTCAAAAGAATATGTTTGATGGTGATGAAGAGTTTCAAAATGCTCCTGACCAAACAACCGGTTCTCAAATATTCAGAATGTTGAAAAATATCAATTTTACTTATGAAAAGATGAATCAACCAAGTAGTACACGATCAAAGAAAAAGGCAAAGCAGGTCAATGAAGAGGTTGAAGTTGACGAACAAACTGATGATGAGTCTGATGAAGAGTATGATCCAAATGAGGTAGACTTGTGGAAAAATATGAGTCTATTCTTCGAGTTGCCTTATTGGAAAAAGCAGATTTTGAGACATAATCTTGATGTAATGCAT